TGAGATGATTCCTACCAGGCTACTTCCTTAGCTTTGGGTTGTTAGAAAATGAACTATGAGTCTCAGTGAATGTCTAATACAGGGACTTCCTCCCTCTGGTCCATGTACATCAATAATTTTGTTCCTTAAACATTTCTTAAGATGAAACCACCCAGCCTTCATCTGCACAAGAAAGAGGTTTTATTTGAACAAGAATATTTCATACAGTATCAATGAAATACTTTACACATGTCAGTATTCTATTTATGTTGACATTTAAGTCCAATATAACACTGTGACTCTATTTCAGAAAAAAATTTGTTTTGAGAGAGAGATGAAGCCTGTTCCTCTATGGGGTCTCCCTGGGTCCAACATGCCTGTCTAGTTCTAGAGTGTGGTCTCAGCGAAGTAGGAAGTTTGTCTCTCTTTCATCCAGTTTGGCAAAATCAAAGAGAGATGCTACCACATCCATTTGATACAATACAACTTGTATCCTCCATGATTGCAGGAGCCTGCTAAGGCTATTTCTTTACTCATAGGGAGGTGGGGAATCTCATCCCTACCCATATTGCACATAGATGATCTTGGTCAGCATTAGAAGGGGAAAGGAAATCATGAGAAGAGTGACAATGGAATCAAAGCAGCAAAGTTTACATAAAACAGTCAGTTTATCTCCCCCAGTTATTTAGGAGATGTTACAGACAGGGAGACCCAACAAGAATTCAAGAAAGGTAGCCATAGATCAAGCTGATGGGATAATGCTGTAATACATGGTATATCTTCGTATAAGCAAGACATTTAGGCTCCCCAGATCAGTTGTAGATCAGAGAGATCCAAGTCAGTTATCGGGACACAAGGAAGTGAATCACAAGTGTTTCCTCATTTACGTGGATGATCACAGAATAGGCAAGCTCTGGGTTTCTCTAGGTTTATGACTAGAAGCATGAAACTGTTGATCTTTAAGGAAAAAAGTTAAATTCTCATCAGAACGCATTTAATGTATCAGTCACTAATTCCCGAGTGTGTGAGTGAGTGAGTAAATGAAAGAGTAATCATTTATACCTACCCAAAAATTAGGGGAATATAGGTGGTACATAGGGACAATAACCAGGTTTCTGAAAACTCTAAAAATCAAGCCACAAAATCATATCATAATAAATAAAATATGTAATAGAGGCATTTTAGAGACAAATATTTCCTACAACCAAAGATGGAAAATCTATTAATTGATCTGTGAATATAGTGATTTTTTTTAATATAGTGATTAGATGGGAAGATGGTCACTTAGAAGAGAGGAAGATGAATACTTTGGGAGAGAAATTGTCAGTGCCATGGCCCAGGGCCTCTCAGCCTGTCTGAACTCTGTAGTTGGGCACACCAGGCACTGACACACATTACCCACTTTCTCTCCAAACAGACTTTCAATTTTAATTTGTTTTTATATGCGACTTCCTCATCAAGTCAAAGAATTGTGCCACTAGCTCAAGTACAAGCTTGGCAGTTTTGTTCTTCCATGAAAACTAAAAATGGCATCTGGTTTATGTAGTTAGCTATTCTGAGCTTGGTAATTCAAGTCCATCTGAAAAAAGTCTTCAGAAGTTGCAAAGATGAGTGACACACCCTGAATTATGCTAATTTTACTGAAGTGAATTCATCTTCAGCTAGCTAACTGCCTATCTCCCCTGGACAGCTGTACCTTGTCTTGCTTCAAAGAGCTATGAAATGCCTGATTCTTTTAGTGCCAAATATATTGTTAAATATATGTCTATTTATATGTCCCATAATAAATGCACTTATTTAGGAAGTTTTATTTAACATGTGGCTTACTATAAACCCCAGATCCTTTTTGCCTTATTCAAGTCCCACAACCAAACCCCACATTGTGCACTATATTTAACAATTATTAATGATTGTTATTTTCTCTTTGGCACTTGGGAAAACTGCAAAAGTACATTATATCTCAATGTGGTTTTAAAACCACATTGAGATACCACCTTACACCAGTTAGAATGGCCAAAATTAGCAAGACAGGAAACAACATGTGTTGGAGAGTATGTGGAGAAAGGGGAACCCTCTTACACTGTTGGTGGGAATGCAAGTTGGTGCAGCCTCTTTGGAGAACAGTGTGGAGATTCCTCAAGAAATTAAAAATAGAGATTCCCTATGACCCTGCCGTTGCACTACTGGGTATTTACCCCAAAGATACAGATGTAGTGAAAAGAAGGGCCATCTGTACCCCAATGTTTATAGCAGCAATGGCCACGGTCGCCAAACTGTGGAAAGCACCAAGATGCCCTTCAACGGACGAATGGATAAGGAAGATGTGGTCCATATACACTATGGAGTATTATGCCTCCATCAGAAAGGATGAATACCCAACTTTTGTAGCAACATGGATGGGACTGGAAGAGATTATGCTGAGTGAAATAAGTCAAGCAGAGAGAGTCAATTATCATATGGTTTCACTTATTTGTGGAGTATAACAAATAGCATGGAGTACAAGGGGAGATGGAGAGGAGAAGGGAGTTGGGGGAAATTGGAAGGGGAGGTGAACAATGAGAGACTATGGACTCTGAAAAACAATCTGAGGGTTTTGAAGGGGCGGGGGGTGGGATGTTGGGGGATCCAGGTGGTGGGTATTGGAGAGGGCACGGATTGCATGGAGCACTGGGTGTGGTGCAAAAATAATGAATACTGTTACGCTGAAAAATAAAAAAATTTAAAAAAAAGAAAAAAAAGTACATTATATCTTCTCAATGCAAGAAGAAAATTTCCATTAGCTGTGAACATGTATGTGGCTGAACAAGAGAGATTTTCTAAAGATCTTATATTCAGAATCTTTGTTCAAGAAAATTTAGAGATGATAATAGACCAGGGACAGCTCCATGTAAGTCCAAAGCATGAGGCATATTTTCCTTTGTTTGTTTGTTTTGTTCCAATGACTTTGGGCATTAAGAGAATTTAAGATTAGCTACCAAAGGTAAATTGAAAGAGAAGACTTCAGTAAACTAGAGTACAGATAAGGAAAGGTGGAGGGGAAAACTGAATATAAGGAAAGGCAAGGCGACCACATGGCTGATAGAGTTGGTACAATGGTAGCATTCCGGGCGCCTGGGTGGCTCAGTGGGTTAAGCCGCTGCCTTCGGCTCAGGTCATGATCTCGGGGTCCTGGGATCGAGTCCCGCATCGGGCTCTCTGCGCAGGGAGCCTGCTTCCCTCTCTCTCTCTGCCTGCCTCTCTGTCTACTTATGATCTCTCTCTGTCAAATAAATAAATAAAATCTTTAAAAAAAAAAACAAAAAACAATGGTAGCATTCCCATGTGTGGCCAATTCTATGAACTTGAGTTCTATTTTCCTAATGACTGCTTCCTACACGTAGGAGAAGCAGCAGACATGAGATGTACAGGCATGCCTTTTTACTGAGACTATTGTGTTCCAGTTTGAGTAGATATCCCAAAGCTATCTAATTTGCCTCTTCTTAGCACATTAGTTTGGATTTCTCTTGATTTATACAAAATTGATTAATAATATGAGCTAACATTTATTAAGTATTACTTTATACCAGGCACTAAGTTAAGCCCTTTTCATGCATTCTGACTTAGTTTTTGTATCAATTCCATGAGGTAGATGCAATTATTATCCTCATTGTACAGATGAGAAAAACAGAGCCTGTGAGTAACTTGCATAAGGTAACCTACCTATAAAGTGGTGGACATGAGAGAAATAATTGCAGGTCTGATAACTTAAGAATACTTAACAAATACCCAAACAACTTTCACTCTAGTCTCTGCTGTCCCACTTTCCAGTGCATCAAAGCTACCATGAAGATCACATTTTTTTTTAACAAACTGAGGAAAAGGCTTCTATTTTTTTGGCTCAAATGGTGATAAATAGATATTATTATAGAACAACAACAATAATAATGCTCATCTTTTAAGCATTTTCTATCAACCAGCACTATTATAGTGCTTGTATATACTGAGTCATTTAATTCATCACAATAAGCCTATGAGACAATTACTATTATTATTCCTATTTTGCAGATAAGGAACTAAGGCACACAGAGCCCAAGTAACCTCTCCAAGGGCATACAGGTAGATACTTACTTGTTCATTTATGGCCAACCGAGAACAGACAAAGCTGAATAAATGTATGCCCATTGTCTACTGCTGGTTCAAAGACAAATAACAAGTTCTGAGATAATATGAAAGAGAAAAATCACTCTCTTCAATTCCTAGGCTAAATCTCATCCTAGAAGTTATCATAAAACTGGTGAAAACCTAGAACCTTTTCCCCAAATGATGGTATCCTCCTCTTCTATAGATTCCTAAGAAACTTTGAGTGTTGGCTGGAAAGCAGTTACTTCAGACTGAAATGAAAATCCCTGGCTTTATTTAAATCATAGTAGTGATTACTTTTTGCACAGCTGATTGAATTAGCCATAAGGTTGTTCAGTCATTAAGGCCCTAATCAGAGGGTTTTTTTTATCTCTTTCCTACCTTAACACATTTAAAAAGACAGTTCTATACCCTCTTCACTCCCAGGGGCTCACAATAGCTGGATTCTCAAACAAGAGACCGTGTCTGCCTTGTGGTGCACACACGCCATAAAGAAAGCATGTTAAATTTCATTAGAGGGAAAGGCAACTGTGTTTAGAAAAAGTGTCTCCTGCCTCAAGTTATTATGCTGTATATCCCTATCCTACATTAAAAATCACCATCCTGGATGCTAGACTAATTTTTTTCAACACTTTTCCTCCTACAGACACAAACCCTGTTTTGATATTCTTGGTTTTTCACTCTTTGTCATATGAAGCTTTCTGCTAAATTGAGTATTTATAATCTCAGTATACCCAATGCTGTTCATTCTAGGAAACAATAATGGCCAAACTGTTTTCTGATAACCAATATGTAAACTAGTCAAGGGAATATTGGAAAGTGGGGGAAAGTCTAGTCAACACAAACCATTGTGTAAAGCAACTAGTCCAAAACTACATGAAAATCTGCACAATTGACCCCGCTCACAGCCTCTTTATAATCATTAGCTTACAGTTGGAAAAACAAAGGCGCATGAGAAAGCACATGTTCCTTCTGCACAACTTTCTTATGGCATTTTTAATCTCCTTATTCCTAAAACTGTAGATGATAGGATTCACCATAGGGATTAGCAGAGCATAGAATATGGACACCAACTTGTCCCGGTTTAGGGAGTAGCTAGAACTGGGTCGCATGTACATGAAGAGACCAGAACCATAGAAAAGGGTCACAGCAGTCAGGTGAGAGGCACAGGTGCTGAAGGCTTTAGTCCTACCTTTAGCTGAGTTGATCTTCAGGACAGCAGCAACAATGTAACCATAAGAGATGAGGATCACAAGGACAGACACCATTCCAACAACAATACCCACAACGAAGTTCACCACCTGACTGGTAGAGGTATCAGAGCATGACAGAACCAGAACTGGAGGAAGGTCACAGAAGAAGTGGTCAATCGTGTTGGGCCCACAGAAATCATGCTGGTAAACAGAGTATGTTTCAATCAGAGAACTGAGGAATCCACCCACGTAGGCCCCAGCCACCATCTTTAAACAAAGTGTATGGGAAATTAGGGCTGAGTAGAGCAACGGGTTGCAGATTGCAGCATAGCGGTCATATGCCATGGCTGCCAAAAGAAAGCATTCAGTCAGCCCCATCCCACAAAACATAAAGTACTGGGTGGCACAGCCAACAAAGGAAATGGTTTTCTTCCCTGTGATAATGTCAGAGAGCATCTTGGGAGTTGTGGAAGACACATAGCAGATATCTAGGAAGGATAGGTTACTGAGGAAGAAGTACATGGGCGTGTGCAGGTGGGAGTCTGTCCTGATGAGGGCAATGAGGCTCAGGTTCCAGGCTAGGGTCAGGAGATAAATCCCCAAAAATAACAGAAAAAGGAAAAGCTTCATTTGAGGATGGTCTGAAAATCCCAGGAGGATGAATTTTGTCACAATCGTGTTGTTCCTTCCTAGAACCATAGACCTACTTCCTGCATAAAGGAAAGAAACAATTCTGTGGTCAGTTAGATTGTATTTGTCAGTATATGAGTGATTATTTCCTGGAAGATCATTTAAACAATTAACACCAAGTTAACATCACATTCGCCTGCTATGCCTTCTTCTTGGAGGAAGTCTTCCCATGATAATCTCTTCACTCTATTTAAAATCCGTATTCTATACACCTTGCTGATTAGAAGAGGGTCTGTCTAATGGAGTAGAGAATGACTGGGAGTCAGTAATCTGGGTTTTGTCCTCAGCTCCATTCCTCTCTGGGACTGTGGAAAAGTGACTGCACCTCTCCAGATTCTCATTTTCTCAACTGAGAAATGGGAGGGTTTAATCAGATAAGTCTCAAGTTACCTTTAGATTTAGGTTTCCTATGGCTTTTTAGACTTTCTGACATAAACCCAGATTAACAATAAGAATGGGAATTTTTTATATTTTATATATCTTTAGTGTAAGAATCTGGAAAAGGAGCTAAACACAATGGGCTATAATATTTGATATATTCCATTTTGAGGGAGCAAGTCTAACCCATAATAAAGATAATCTATTCTTTCAGGTTAGAAAACTAAGAGAAAAAATATACTCAGTCAACTTTGTGTTGTTCCACCATTCCCCCAAAAATGGAGATATTATTTGGAGCCCTTTTGTCCCATAATGGTGGTGATTGTGTTCATCCAGATTTTGATCTTTTTATGCATTTTATGCAGTTATTTGTATAAAAACTTATTATATAATTAGAAAAAATTTCTAGTTCCAAGCATACACGTGTGTGTGTGTATAATATTTGTGTATATCTCAACACACACACACCTATATGCATACATAGAGACACACACACTCAAAGGATAACTATGTAGAGATGACAGATAAGTCATTTAGCTTGATTGTGGTGATCTTTTCACAATGTATACATATATATAAGAACATCACATTGTACACTTTAAATATATACAATTTCTATATGTTAAAGACATCTCAATTAAGTTGTTAAAATAAATACATGCTCCTTCTAGGTTTGTGTTTTCTAAAATTTTAAATCTCCCCACAATCAGTCACTGACTGGGCAGCCAAAATCAAGAAGAGCCAAGAGTGCTCTTCCCTATGACATCCATCTATGAACCTATCAAAGAGGAAATGATATGAGTTTGGTGTTTCTTATCTGAAGGAGATCTCTCCTACCAGAATGTAAGCTACTCAAAGGCAGGCAGGGAGATCTGTTTATTGATCTATTTATTGATTTATTCTATCAGTAATCTAGAACAGTGATTGGGACATAGGCATCGTAAGTATTTGTTGAATGAATGAATTTTTTCACTGCTTATCTACAAAATCTTCACAGAGTGTTTGGCTCATAATGGGTGCCCAATTGTAATGATATAATATGCAACATATAACACAATCACGAACACTTATTCAAGGCTTATTGAGTACCAGGCACTGTTTTAAGGACTTGATTTATATTAACTCATTTAATCCTCCCTGGAACTGGGTAGACTTACTCTGCCCCTTTTAGAGATGAAATGTGAAATAGGTTACAAGTTACAATTGTAATTTGTTGGATGAATGAGGTGGGAATGAAGGAGCTGAACTTACTGAATGATTTCTGACAGAAGTGTCCTGAGATCTCATCCTACAGAAGAATTATTGGTTGTCTTGCTCCACTAGCATGTTTTACAAAATTCGGTTCATCTGCATTTCCCACTGCTCTATGCCTGGCTTCTGGTTCAGTCAGTTTTTTATAGTTTGGTCTCATGCAAAGAATAATATCTGCTTCCAGAATCCCTGCTCCTTTATTACCAAGTCTTCAAAATGGCCTTAGGGAATTCATTATTTTAATGGTCAGGGGTAGCCACACTTTTCCTCCACATGGCTGCTCTGTCACCCACTCCTGGGTCCAAAGTAAAAGCCTAGCAATCATTAGAACGAAACATTTCTGAACACTAATTGTTCTCTGGGGTGATAGTGACAGGGACAACCACCCATTGCCAGAGTGTTGTTTGCAGTGCCCTGACTTACTCTCCTCTGAGCTTCCTCTGGGTCCAGAAAGACATCCTGTTGCATTGGTGGGCAACCTTCTGCTTTGAGACCCTTCTCTGGAAGTAAACCACACACAAGAGAGTTGGGTTCAAATTCTAGCTCTGCCATTTTATAATATGTGTATAAACATACACACATTTTTTAAAATCTCCAAAATATCAATTTCCTCCCTTGTAACACTGGGGTAATAATTATAATACCAATCTCAAAGGGTTGTTGTGGTTTCGCTTACTTCTGGAGCACAAAGCATAACATGAAGGACATTAGGAGAAGGAAAGGAAAAGTGAATTGGGGGAAACTGGAGGGGTAGACAAAGCGTGAGAGACTGTGCACTCTGAGAAACAAACTGAGGGCTTTGGAGGGGAGAGGAGGGATGTTGGGTGACCCTGGTGGTGGGTATTAAGGAGGGCACATATTACAGGGAGCACCGGGTGTGGTGCATAAACAATGAATCTTGTTGTGATAATGAAATGAGATATGAATAAGAAGGCCTTAGCACAGTGCCCAATGAATAGAAATCTCTCAATGAATGTTGGGTAAGAACATCATTAACTCTGTCTCTAGGGTTGTGGCCAAGAGCTCTTTGACATTTTATGGTAATGAAAACAGTTTCTTTACCCTTTAAGATTCTGGGTGCTATTTCCAGTTCTGCCATGACCTGGACATGTGGCTGTGGGTGAATCAATTAGGCCCTCCCCCACCTCTCAGGGCCTGAGTAAATTCAGCTCACTTTCTAAGGACCTCTCAAGCTCTGAAAATCTAGAATTTTGAAACATTCATATCTTGTTTTTTCAAACTTTTTCTATAAGAATAAAGTTTACAGAAAGGAGTTAATATGTTTCATGGAGATCAAGTTACCAAACCCTAGTCTGAGAATAAAAATTAATTAAATGACAAAAATATCTTCTATATGAAAAAATACAATTACTGAGACCCTTGACACACAAGGTAGTAAGTTGAATTTAGGGAAAGAAATTTAACAACTGAGATCATTGAAAAAAAAAAAGGTAAGTGACTTCAAAAATAGACTGTGAAATTTAAAAAAATAAATAAAAATTTAAAAAAATAGATTGTGATGGAGAAAAGTCAAGGAATTTTTATTAAAAGGAGAATTTTTATTAAAATTAATCTTTATTAAAAATTAATAAATTTATAAAAATTAATCTTTATTAAAAGGAGAATTTTGCTCTAGGCAGTATAGACATTTTAACAATGTTTATTCTTCCGATCCAAGAGCATGGAATGGTCTTCCATCTTTTAATGCCATTCCAATAAAAATTCCACCGGTATTTTTCAAAGAGCTGGAGCAATTAATCCAGAAATTTGTATGGAGTCAGAAGAGACCCCGGATCGCTAAGGAAATGTTGAAAAACAAAAATAAAACTGGGGGCATCTCGTTACCTGATTTCAAGCTTTACTACAAAGCCGTGATCACCAAGACAGCATGGTACTGGCATAAAAACAGACACATAGACCAGTGGAACAGAGTAGAGAGCCCAGATATGGACCCTCGACTCTATGGCCAATTAACCTTCGACAAAACAGGAAAAAATATACAGTGGAAAAAAGACAGTCTCTTCAATAAATGGTGCTGGGAAACTGGACAGCTATATGCAGAAGAATGAAACTCGACCATTCTCTTACACCGTACACAAAGATAAACTCAAAATGGATAAAAGATCTCAATGTGAGACAGGAATCCATCAGAATCCTAGAGGAGAACATAGGCAGTAACCTCTTCGATATCAGCCACAGCAACTTCTTTCAAGATATGTCTCCAAAGGCAAAGGAAACAAAAGCGAAGATGAACTTTTGGGATTTCAAGATCAAAAGCTTCTGCACAGCAAAGGAAACAGTCAACAAAACAAAGAGGCAACCCACGGAATGGGAGAAGATATTTGCAAATGACAGTAGAGACAAAAGGCTGATATCCAGGATCTATAAAGAACTCCTCAAACTCAACACACACAAAACAGACAATCATATCAAAAAATGGGCAGAAGATATGAACAGACACTTCTCCAATGAAGACATACAAATGGCTATCAGACACATGAAAAAATGTTCATCATCACTAGCTATCAGGGAGATTCAAATTAAAACCACATTGAGATATCACCTTACACCAGTTAGAATGGCCAAAATTAGCAAGACAGGAAACAATGTGTGTTGGAGAGGATGTGGAGAAAGGGGAACCCTCTTACACTGTTGGTGGGAATGCAAGTTGGTGCAGCCACTTTGCAGAACAGTGTGGAGATTCCTCAAGAAATTAAAAATAGAGCTTCCCTATGACCCTGCCATTGCACTACTGGGTATTTACCCCAAAGATACAGATGTAGTGAAAACAAGGACCATCTGTACCCCCAATGTTTATAGCAGCAATGGCCATGGTCACCAAACTGTGGAAAGCACCAAGATGCCCTTCAACAGACGAATGGATAAGGAAGATGTGGTCCATATGCACTATGGAGTATTATGCCTCCATCAGAAAGGATGAATACCCAACTTTTGTAGCAACATGGACAGGACTGGAAGAGATTTTGCTGAGTGAAATAAGTCAAGCAGAGAGAGTCAATTATCATATGGTTTCACTTATTTGTGGAGCATAACAAATAGCATGGAGGACATGGGGAGTTAGGAGAAGGGAGATGGGGGAAATTGGAAGGGGAGGTGAACCATGAGAGACTATGGACTCTGAAAAACAATCTGAAGGGTTTGAAGAGGTGGGGGGTGGGAGGTTGGGGGAACCAGGTGGTGGGTATTGGAGAGGGCACGGACTGCACAGGGCACTGAGTGTGGTACAAAAACAATGAATACTGTTCTGCTGAAAATAAATTTTTAAAAAATGATTAAAAAAAAGAACAGCTGATACATAACAAAAAAAGAAAAGAAGAAAAGCTGATTATGGGGGATGGTAATAGATTTCATCTGTCATG